CCCTTACACTCCCTCAGGTAATGGCTGGGTATCATGACGCACAGTTTAGTTCGTTCAGCCGCTACTTTCACTGTAGGTATCACACACACATACACACACACATTCGGTGATAATTGTAGGTTATATTGAGGGAATACATTTGGTCAGTTGTGTATCAAACGTTCCCTCGCTTGACTGGTCCATCGTTAAGACAAATTGCGACAGCCTGTGTTGTCTATGCGCAATTAGTAGGTATTAATAGCAGGTAACCTATCATTAACGCCTTGGTCTGGGCACAACGGGTGTGTCTGTCTGGCAGCACAACTCTCACCTTCCCTGACCAATATAAACAATATGATATTGAACAAAATATAACCACTAAGACAGTCATTAAGTGGATAAAATAAGTAATCAAGTACAAAAGTAATTAAGTAATGTGTATTTCAGTTTTTCCCTGGATAGTATACACCGCTGGGTGGAGTATTATATAAGTAACAGCGAGAAGATTGCTTGAAAATATTTTTGGGTTCGCGTGAAGATAGCTCCTCCTAATCTTACAGCACCTTAAGATGAACCATCCTAGCGCTAAACTAACCCACTTTAACCTAACCTAACCTAACCTAACCTAACCTAATCGCCAGGTAGCGTTAGGGAAGTTTAATCATTAGGTGAAGTAAGCTGGGCTGGTGGTTAGGTTTAGCAACGACTGTGTACTATAGAACCTTACAGCTCCCTACAGTCTTGAGATATATATTTATTTACTTGTTATCTACTAGAATAAAATGCCCGCATTATTCAAAGCAATTCATTATATAAAATGATGAAAAATATAAGACAGGATAATTGTGATGAACGGTGAAATATTTTTGTTAAGGTAAAAATGTGTAGTAAATTATTCTGGGGTGAGTGTTGGAATTTACATATGTGTTGAAACGGAAGTTGCTGTCATAATACCATACCAGTTAAGGCAGAGAGAGAGAGAGAGAGAGAGAGAGAGAGAGAGAGAGAGAGAGAGGCACCAATTTGCTAGTCACTTGAAGGTGTAACCCGAAATGGTTTTCTATAAGCTGAGTACTGCCACCCCACACGTTACTGACTGGCTGGTGCTTCCATCCCATCATTTCATATTACAATACTTATATCAGCAACTGACGTGATAGAAGGTAAGTCGTTCTTATGGGGGGTTTTTTCACACCAAAAATACCATTATTCTTATTCTTTAGAAACTCATTGTCATTCTCTACTTGTCTATCAGTTATCCCTTGTATTATCTCCTGTCTGGTTGTCTTTTCTGCTCAGTCAACCATTACATTTTTTATATTATTCAGTCCCGGGTGCAATTAACCAAACTGTTTGTCATTGTTTGTGTGATTTTACATGGCGATTTTTTTTAAGTGAGAAAACATCTATCTATATATCTATCTATCTATCTATCTATCTCTATCTGCCACTCTCGTCTCGTTTTCTTTTCCGACATTCTTCCCAGCTTCCCTCTAACAAATCTGGCCAGGTTCACCGTCCCCTTCCCCTCACCTCCCGGACCTGTCATCTTGTCCCCCTTGTCACCCTGAGCCTCACGGTCGACAGTTCTCAATCGTTCGTCTAACTCGAGATGTAAGGCGTGTGTCCAGCTTCTCTGTGTAATGTTGACGCTGTTATGGCTGTGTCTAAGCTTAAGGTTCAATAAGTTTTCACATTTTTCCTGACGAGGGAGATTTATGGTAAGAACTTCAGAGACTCCGGGTTGTGGTCTGTTAGGCGACCTTCCCAACACAGCTGTCGAGGTCGTCGTCCGCCCCTTGGAGGCCACTTACCTCCCTCCTCCTCCAACCCAATTTTCATCTCCTGCCAGAACCAGTATCATGTGTCCCAGCTGTTTACTCCTGTGTGCTACTGTGCAGGTATAAACGAGCTGAAGCTGTGGTATACGTGGATCTACCCTCTAGGCCTGGACTAGGTACAGTGACAGGTGCCATTGAACTTGGGGCGGTGAAATAAAGTGTATTGATCTTACTGTGCCAAAGAAAATTTTTGGTAATATTTATATTCATTGGACGAAGATGTGACAGCCTTCATTCTTATCTCGCACAAAGGCCATTAATTCTCGCCTGTTTATGGGTAATGAACTAATAAAGGGTTTATAGCCGCCAGTCGCCCTTATCTACAGGCGGGAGGGGAGGGAGGTTGGGGGGGGGAGACGCGCGTGCCACGTCTTGGGTACGCAGCTGTCCTCCCCCCTCACCCAACCCCCGCACACATACATTCACACAAACACACACACACGCACACACACACACCACTAACATCCCACGAACGAACATCACCATTTCTTGCACCACATCGCTGGGAGATAAGTTGGTGATGTATGGCTGAAATATGATGGAGAAAATGTCATAAAATGACGACGGGGTCCAGAGTAACGGGGTCCCTGCTCGTGTCTCTTCTTAATTCATGAACACGTGCTGGCGAGGGACCGCATGTTCGCCACCCCTCGTCCCCTTCCCACTCGCCCTCACTGCTCTGGCTTCCTCCTTCATGACCATACACACTTGCCCCTACAGTCAGTTACATAATTTCCTAAATCTCAAAATATGGAATATAGCGCGAATTATCAACCCAGGATGCGATATACTTTCAAGCCCGTGTTGGTGACCGTCTCGAAAACTTACGGTCAGGAGTGAACGATGGCTAGAGGCGCGTCCTGGGCAGCCTGAGGCCGTATGGGAGTGCGGTGACGGCGCTGGCGGTGCGATCGTTATATAACCGTTGAGCACGGGACTGATGGCACAACCTGTCCGATTCCGATGATTTGTGGGCAGCTCGGCAGTGTTCCGTTCTCAGGGCCTCGTGGCCAGCCTCGGGCATCTTGCTCGAGCTGAGGTGCCGGTACTGCGGTACCCGAAAAAGGTGGAACTTAACTGAACTGCAGTCCAAAGTACTTCAGACTCAAGATCTGGGCTTCGACTCTCAAAGGTTCATAATTCCCAACTTACACAGAGGCCAATGTGGAATTACAATTAACTTTATGATCCACCGTGACTACATAGATGTGTTCACTTATCTCCAGGTGGAGGAAGAATTAACATACGAGCCTTTGGGGACCTCTCGTACGTCTACGGGAAAGGGTCGCGGAAAGGGGACGTGATTGCTGCCCGTATCATCATTGGGAATGACTTTGCTTGGGAGATTGGTATCCCCGCATCCCCTGAGCAACGCTCTTGTGCATTATGCAGAAGACCCGACAGCCGCACCCTTATCCACTACCTCCTAAGATGTCCCCACACAACGCCTGCTGGACCACCACTCCACGACCCCCTGACGGAGACACGATGATCCTCCCCATACTGGCCAGATATTTTGTAAATAGTATTGATTATGTGTTAAAGGAATATCCTTCCTTCCTTAGGCTTTAGTAAGCCCCTTTATAATATTTATACTGTGTATACTTGTCACACTTGCCAGATGCTTCTGGTGTCATTGTACAGGGGTACCTAGTGACAGCACTAGGATCCCGCTTCCTCTATCAAGGAATAAACAATTGAAAATGAAATTGAAATTGAGTCTTTGGGAATCAGATTCTTGGTGGTCTCCATGTCTAAAAGGTTTACCCAGCTGAGAGAGATAGTGCAGATCGCCACATTATTGCCTTTGCACCTTAATACACGTTGGTGCTCATAACCTCGGCCAGCAAGTCCTGTAGTACTGTTCCATCATTAAAGCTTTATATATCACGATGTATTGTGATGATGTGATAGGTATAGAAAAAATTATGTATCGTAACAAGCAACGAAGACAAGTACTGAAGGGTGAAAACACACTGTGTTTGGAAGGTTTAAAAGTTACTATGCAAAGGTTTATCTGTGCGGTTAGGAAGTTAGGTAAGGTTTGGTAGGCCGTAGGTTTGGTTAGTTAGGATAACTTAATTAGTAATACGTGATTGACAGCACCAATCGAACCTATCTAACCTTACCTAACTTCCTAACCGGGGGGTCAAGCCCCCGAACCTTGCATATTAAATATCTCGGTTTCAGGTCGTTTGCGATTGAAACGTCATATAAGAAAGGTGTCTTAGAATTGTCTAAAATATTGTTTGATAAGACAAAATTCCCGAGATTCGGTTGGTGGCAATAAATGCAGTGATACCTTTTCTAGTAGTTTTCTGATTTTCAGTTCACGGTTATGGGTAAAATGCTCCAAAAGTGTCATAGAAGAAAATCGTCTTTTTTCTGTCTGAAATTATTATTAAGCACAAAAAAAACATATATCTAAATATGTCCTCAACTATAAATTGACCATGTAAGCATCGCTATTTTCAACAACTATATTATTCCCCAAAACAGTCCACAGAAAAACTTTTACAAGGTACAGTACGTTTAAGCCTTCCAGACAGTCTGTTATCACCCTTCTGTACTTGTTTTCTGTGTTTCTGTTTTTTTCTGTATCTATCAATCTATCACATTATCACAATCCATCGTGTTATATAAAAGTTTAACCTTATACATGAAACTGTTTATTTAGGTCCATTTTCTCTCTGGCGATAAAAGAAAATGGAACTTTTACATGGGAGAACTTTTACTTTTTTATGGTTGTTAGATATAATTATTAACTTAAGTGTACTTTTATCTTATTTTATCCTCTTCGCTAAGACTTGACATTTCAGCTTATTCAAAACAGGTAAATACAGACATATGAAAGTTTGATGAATTATAATCGAGTTAATTTTTATTTCATACAGATTGTGTCTCTGAAAGATAATAAATACGGTATCTAAAGAACTGAGAACAAATTTAATCTTGAAAAAATATTATGATACAAATTTATTGAATGTGTTTAGGAATATATTATATTTTCAGTCTATTTTCTGTATTTGTACGTTTCTATAATATATTGTATATATCTTGCCAGTATATAACTAAGAGACCCCTTGTACGTATTTCTCTCAAAAGACAGTAGCTTAATTTCCCATAACTATCTCAATATAGCTTTGGTTAGCTTAAAATAAATTTCGTTTATTTAAGACAATTTTCCTGACAAATTAACAGGTTTCATAGTCTGGTTGGTGATAATTGTTTAGCTTTACCTTCAGGTGTGGAGAGAGAAAGCCTGTCTCCAGTCTCTCTATACATGACGTAACACACTGATCCTCTCCTCCAACCTCTCGTGTGACAGCTGGTAGGTCTTTTTAGTGGGGAAATGAATGAGGTGACGTATAAATTTACTATTTTTGTGAACTTATTGGTTAAAATTCAAAACTAATGTTATTTGTAACATGGGAAAAAGGTATATTGGCAGTTAAATGCATGTAGGGAGGTGAGAGGGATGCTTTTTGGACATAGTGAACAAGAAGGTAAAATTTAGGGTTAGAACAAAGAATATAAGGACTGACACAATGTAGTTAAAATTAAACTAAATTTCCTGAGTAATATTTAAGGACAAGGGTCTGGGTTACCCAGCCGCCTAACGAAAAATCTGAATAGAAGAAAATTTGTTACTTACCTCAAGAAAATAACCCAATGTAGGTGGTGGAATTGTACTTGGTATTTTGTTATTTCCCTCATGCTTGTTAATACTGTAAAGTGTTTGCTTGAATTGTTGTCAAACGGTTCTTGGCTACCAACCAAATGTTAAGCTGGAACACTTCTCAATGATGTCATATAAACCAAAACCCAACCTACCTAACTAACGGTAGAGACTGTTAGCAGCAGGAATTTCTTTTATAATTCGTTCATGTTTTCCACAGGTTTTGTTTGAATGACAGTAATAGAAACGATATGATAACTTAGCGGGGTATTTCTTTAATTTTATTTATTTTCTCTATCTTTGATCATAGATCACCTGTAGTGTGCAGGACACGAAAGATTAGGGAAAATATGGGGTAAAACACGGCGAAAAACTGATCAAATGTCAGCAATCTCATGTCTTTACGTGCTTTGTAGAAGAAGAAATAATTTTTTTACCGTAAATATTCCGTCGATATTTCTCCTGTGGTACCCCATGCTTGCGTCTGCTCATAAGCTATAAATTTGTGATTCCGGCCTTTGTTAACATTTACAAGTAACGACGGAGGCTCTCATCGGGGGTTTTATTACCATATTGTCTTGGTTTTCTTTTGCTTTTAATTTTATTGGTTTCACTTTCCTGTTTTGTTTTGTCTTGCACAAATCCCATATGTTTTTAACTTTTTTGCACATATATTTTTTGAACTAGTTTTGGACTAGTGCTTCAATTATACCTGATATAAAAGTAAGTTCTTTCTGCTTAATATTCCAGGGGGTACGAGGGATGGTCCCCCCTGGTTAGGAAGAAAAGTAATGTGAGATAGGTTTGGTTGGGTAAAGTTGGTTAGGTCAGGTTTTGTAGATTATTATTTCCATTTTCTTGTTTAGTATCATACAAAATTTAACATCTAAAATTTTGGTGTAATTTCATAAGTATTTTCTACTATTAACCCTCTTCTCCACCATTACCAATTAAACTTGACACAATCTAATCTATCTAACCTAAGCTAACGCAACTTAAAATTATATATTGATACAGTACCCTGCTTCCATCCCAGGATAAGTAGATTAGGTAGGTCTTCTTGTTTCATCTCATCTACACGATAAATCATTCAATATGTAATATTTGTTGGAAATTCTTGACTACCAAAAGGACGCTGAGAAGCATTTCTGTGTATCATCAAATTAATATTTAAAAAAAAAGTCAATTGGGGGATATTTTTAACAAAAAATTTATTATCTGCTATGTAGAAATTGTCTAAAGTTGTTGTTTCTTAGTACAGTAATAATGAAATGAAGGTGTTAATGTCTATAAACATGTTGTTGCTCACGTGAACAGTTGTAACATAAACATGGCATCCTAGGGTGGACATGGGGTGTCTTTGTTGATGAGTGAAATAAGGAAAACTAAATTTTGGATATTTTTGAGGAAACAAATACAGTATATTTCTTCTATAGAAATTTTTAATTTGGCAGCTGGTTAACCTGGGCCACCACTTTAAGTGTTAACCAAACTAACTAAGCCTCTTCCCTTTGTGACCTATACAGTACACAATTTTGCTGCTGCAGATTTTTGCCAAATTTTTTCTGAGTTCATTGATGTCTGAAGCTACCCCCAGACTATCCGGCCAGGCTCTAACAGGTACGGCCATTGAATTTACACTTGTCCAAAGTCACTCATCTTTGAGGTGACTTCGGACACATATAAATCTTCTGTTCATAGAAAACATAAACTGTTTGCTGAATTTCTGTTGACATATATGAATAACCCATTAGTTCATGTACCAATTGCATACTTAAACATATGCTTTTAGCTCTAAAACTTAAACTGCAGCTTAAAAAATCTTCAACCACTGTCCGGTACTGTACAGAATTTGTATACGAACTCACAGATTTAGATACTGTATTACAAATGACAATTCATTCAGACATGAGTGGTGGTGGCAGCATGTGGCTATCAGGTGTACAATCACACACTGGAAATAAGTACTGTATTGTTAATACTTTGTCTTATCAATGGTAAATGTGTATACAGTATGTATGCAGATATTGTATGAATGAGAGTACTGTAAATGTAATAATAGCATTACTTTTAAATACTGTAGAGAAGTAAGACTCGTTTATATTCTGGATATGTACAGTACAGGACACCACAACACAACACAGTAAATAGATGACACCATGGTGCAACTAGTTACTGAAAGCTTGGATGGTGTATTGTAATATTAACAGTACAGTCACTTTACTTATCCTGTTTTTTGTGGCAGCAGCAGTGAGGTATGAGGTGATGGTATAGATGGGGTCTGCTGGCAGGCACAGTGGGAAGTAGGGGACAGTACATTACTGACCATGGGCTCATGTGTGTATATTGTTGTCTCCTTTCATGAGCTAGCAGTATCAATAGTTATTTTTCATATTTAATGTGGAATATTTTATTGTCAGTGTTTTTAATTGAATATTCAGCAACTTTTTTGTTATTTTAAGGTTTTAAGTAAATGTGGTTCTACTGTATTGTAGTACAAGTCTGTCTTGCCAACAAAATAATTAAATTTCTCAATAAAGAAAGTCTATTACATAAACCTTGCTGTTCATTTGCATGCCTTATACAGTCAGTTCTGCTATAGCGCGATATTTGTGTTCTTGTAAAACATCGTGTTACAGAAATTCGCGTAATAGAAATAACAGGGCTTATGGAGAAAATAGGGTTAGGTGCAGATTACTACTCGAAATCGAAAAAAAATTAGTAGTTAGCCTAACACAAAGGATAGCACAGTCTAAATAAATGTTACATTCATATCTAATAATGAAATCATACAGTAAATGTAACACTTTACCTTGAAAAAATATGAATATAACTTGATGGGGAGAAGGGTGATTTTGAGGTTGATAACATCGAGCTTCTCTTCAAGGGTTATAGCCTTTCTTTTACGATCATCACCGGGAATGCGATCACCAGAACGCTTCTTGGAGATATTCTTTTTTACCATATTCACAGTTAATACCACAAAATTGGAGAAATAGTAAGCAAAAATCGCGTTACAGCAAACAAGCGTTCGCGTTATACAAATATCGTTCCTCTTTTCATAAATCGCGTTAGAGCCAATTCGCGTTGTCAAAACACGCGTTATAGCAGAACTCACTGTATTACTATGGATGTTTTGGGGGAAACTTAATTTCCAGGCAAAAATTTATCATTATAGTGTATGTTGCAATTTATGAATTTCAGGCTCGTTCTTGTCAGGATGGTGGATGATGCAACCCGCAAATCTTTAAGTTCCATTCCTTTGTTACGGACAAAGGCAGGGCCTCGTGACAAGGAGGCCTGGGTAGCACGCCTCAAAGAAGAGTACCAAGCACTTATCAAAGTATGATACAGTATATTAAACAAATTTTCTCACAGTTCATGCTAACTGAGGAGCCCAAAAGTGTTATAACAAACCTCAACTGTCAGTTAAGGAATTTATTGCACGACTTTTTGGCCCCTTTGTACAGTATACTGTAATACTTATGCTCAACTTTAAGAGACAGAACAAGTAAAGTCTGCCAATACTAGAGTAAGTTAATAAATCTTCCATATAAAAATTGAAGAAGAATCTGAACAAAACTGTTAGAAGTCCAGAATTCAATAAACTTCATATTTTTTTATGCCATACAAAAATAATGTGAGGATAAATGAATTAATATTGGTAATTATTCATATTCCTTTCTCAGCTGCTAAGTTCTTCCATGACTACGGCCAAGATATTATATTATTGGTTTCTGTTGTAGCTACGTATCTTATTCTTAGAAACATGGTGATAGGGTTTTCAACCTAATTTTAACTAGTATGAAAAGTTGACAAACTAACTTCAGCAGGGCACCATGACTCAGCAAGAGGAAGCAACACAACTGATACTACTACAGCACAGTACTATACTATACAGTAATACCTCCATTAGCCTGAATCCCTCAAGCCCGGAACTCTCCGATAGCTGGAATTTAAATTTTCTCGGAAAATCGATTCCAAAGCCGGAATTTTCCGGAAAATTAAGATAAAATTTTCCCGATGCCTTGAAAATTCTGGGGATGGGGTATACTGCCAGATCTGGGGTCACTAACTCTAAGGGGAAATACTTAACTCTAATCTTAATTTCTAAGGGTTGCTGCCACCAGACCCCCTCTGGGCAGTATGTAGCTCGTTAGGTAGCAGGCAGAGTGGACTAGGCATTGAGTTAGGTTTTTCATTGACCAGATCGATAAGGGGAAAGAAGGGTGAAACCATAACATGTCTTAATTAATTTATTCCTTATAAAACATACTGGTCAAAAAAACATACAAGTGAGTTGGCCTTCCTCAGAAGAACAACGAAGATGTTGGTTACCCTGCTCGGCACCAGACGTCTTACATTAATTGCGTGTCATCCACATACTTATTGCATAACAATCCATGACCTTATTTCGGTCATTCCTTCTTACACTACCCCTTAACACGTCAGACTGCTCCACCTGTATGGAATATAGCACCGTAGGTTATCATACATAGTAGCACCATCTCAACACACCTGTTACACTCCACACCTGCAAGTATGGGACCCCTTGTAATTTCTAGGTATACATATCAGGCACCTCGTTCGCACACTGCCCTCGGTGGGTAGAGACGAGGGTTACACCAAGAGACATACCAGTACTATTTCTACGCCTGGTATTATAGGTCGCTCCAAGTGACGACCGCGGAGTTTCTCAGGCGTTTCCTTATTTGTTCTACTCATTTGGGGTGGTGTGCTGGGAATCCAAAGGTTCACAGTGGAAGTGCATGATCACTGTGGTGTGGCCTTCACAGTGTGGTCATGGCTGACGCCCGGTAGGCACTCAGAACGCGTTGTCCTGTGTTGGGAGAAGTCAGGCATCACTAAGAATACTGCCAGAGGGGCTTTCGTCACCACACATTAGTACACTCTGACTTCACTTTATGACATCAGGCAAGGTTTTAAGATGTAAAAACTGCTAGATAAGTCTTTTTAGGGCTGAATAAAGCATGATGAAGGACACTGACCTGTGTTGGGAGAAGTCGAGGCATCACTGAGGGTGATGTCCCGACTCCCACACTTCTCTCTGTTTAGGCCTACAGTTTCCAATCTTCAATTTTCACTTTGGATTCTTATGGTTCCCACATCTCCATTTTCCTATCTATTGTGACCTCATGCTTTATAAATACATATCTTAATCCTAAATTACACACTAAGGTAAGGGTCTGGTTTGCTAGTTCCTGGGGAAATTCATTGGGTTATAATGTCAACGCGGCACACCCGAGGCGGCCTAGGTGCCAACCCAAACAAAGCCTAGCATCGTATTTTCATGGCGTGGGTATACAAGATATTCTTTTTGAAGCATAGTGTCTAGATCACTTCCAACACTTCACATAGTTCTGATACCTTTATCCTTTTTCCAGATCATTGTTCTCATGTATTTTCATATATCTGCGGAAGCTATGTTCGCTAAATGTCCACAGACGTAAATAGTATGACCTTCAAACCATGATCTACACTTAGTCCTAAAGTACACTAGTTCGGATCAACTGGACTTTCCCAATCATCTTATAGATACCCTGAGTTCTCCTTAATGCTATGAATACATACAATTAACATAATATAACCATACCTGGGTACAATACAACACATGATTCAGTAACATTGAGTAGGTGAGTTATCCTTTATCAATGTTTCCCGTTCTCTGAGATTCTACCATCGCGGTAGGTTTGAATGTTATGTAGCGTAATATGAATTAAAGGGGGTTTTTAGGAATGACAATGATGTGGGCAGTACAGGGGGAGTTTTTTCTTGGTTTGAGAGATGAAAATCAGGCACATTTTCTGGAAATTCCGAGAAAAAATTTCCGGTACCCGGAAATTTCTGGAAAATTCCGGGGATAAGGGATATTTTACCAGGTTCGAGAGATGATGTAATGGGTAATTTTTGGAATTTTTGGGAAATTTTTTCCGCTACCTGGAAAATTCCATGGATGAGGGATTTTTTTCGGCTTTGAGAGAGTCGTCTTGTTACCAGTACCCAGAAATCTCTCATTCCCGGAAGTGCTCTGCACCAGTGGCGTGTCGTGAGAAAATGCTAGGGTAAGCAAATGACGCTTTCTTACTTGTAAAGTCACGAGATCTAAAAGAATTCTTTAGTAGATCACATACAGTCTGTATGTGATCTACTAAAGAATTCTTTTAGATCTCGTGACTTTACAAGTAAGAAAGCGCCATTTGCTTACCCTAGCATTTTTCTCACGACACGCCACTGCTCTGCACCAATTGTTCCGGCTAATGGAGATATCACTGTATATCTGTATATGGTTTTTTAACTGTCTGTAACCTTCTTTTTTAGATGTTATATACAGGCACTTTTGAGGTTATTGAGATTTTTATATTTACTTTGTCATATCCAAATTCTATGAAGTGAAATGTAAAGTTCAGTCTTTGTTCATACTGTATTTATGGAATGTCAAAGATTTCTAGATAGAAAGCATAGCACACCTCAGGCTAAAATCTTGGGGAAGACAATGTAGAATTGTGTAACCAATAGGATGTATTCTGTATATCATGTATACTATATAGTTATTACAGAGAAATTAACAGGAATACGTATAAAATCTGTAACTTAGAGTTCTTGGTCTGTTGTGTCATTGTATACACTCTAAAGGTGCAGAAAGGTTTTTTGTTGATTGTACGTACACCTGCTATTTGATCTTTTAGTGTGTAACCTTTCAGATAATAGTCTATTTGATTATTTATGTTGTTTTTATTATTACAGTATGTCCAGAACAACAAGGATGCTGATAATGATTGGTTTAGATTAGAGAGCAATAAAGAAGGGTCAAGATGGTTTGGAAAGTGTTGGTTCATACACGATTTACTGAAGTATGAGTTTGACGTCGAATTTGATGTAAGTTTTATTTCTGCATTGAGATGATAATGAGATTTTAAGTGATAACTGAAGAATATTTTGGATGAGTATGTATGAAATGACATGTTAAATAAATCAATTTCTGACTAATTTTAAGTTTTACTTAAAAAATTATTGACAAACAAATACGTGTACCTGTATTATAAACAACTTATGTTCAGCTACATATTTGATTACAGTATACTGTAAAATTGTTTTATGTAAATGGATTGTTGTCATGAAATTTGAATTAGATTATATCGGCTTAAGAATGATTAAACTATGGTAATTAAGACGTAAATGGAGAATTTGGGTAAGATCTACTACAGTACAATATTTAGGGCTTCTTTTGCTTGTAATGTACTGTATTTAGTACAGTACTGTGAAGAAAAAAAATCATCTTTTTTTGAAGAAGTGCAGTTAAGTAAGCTGAATTTGTCACTTCTAGAGTAACCATATTTAATGTGTGTTATCGTGCACTTATATTTTATACACTTACAGATACCAGTAACATACCCAACTACAGCTCCTGAAATTGCACTGCCTGAACTGGATGGAAAGACTGCTAAGATGTATCGTGGTGGCCGCATTTGCCTTACAGATCATTTCAAACCACTTTGGGCGCGAAATGTTCCAAAATTTGGTATTGCACACGCCATGGCACTTGGTGTAAGTCGTCCTTTATTGTGAATTATGTAATTGGCAAGGAATTTGTTCTGGCTATTAGACCCATCATATTTAGTGAGGAAGTACCTAAATGATCTTGCTCTTAAATTGACTTTGATTACAAATATTATTGATAGATGATGACAGTACAGCATTAGGAATTAGATACAGTAATGTATTGTGTAGAGATGTACAATGGTATAAATGTTTTGGAATCATTTTTGAACACCAACATGATTTGAATACTGAGTTTGCTTTACCCTTAAACAGTGGCCATCATCAGTAGAAGTTAGCTGTAGGGACAGCAGTCATTGTCTGTGGAAGTTTTATGTGTCTTGCACCTGAGGGGAGGGATGGGATGGGGAATCCTTAGCTTCTGATTTAGGGTTAAGAAGATTCCACAAATAGTACTTCTGAATGACTGTATGTTCCTCACAAGTTCTAATTTATTTAGATTGAGACTTGCCCTTGTCACTGATTAAATTTTTATGACAATTAGGTGTAAAAGCCTAATTCTGACTTCTTCAGATGTTTTAATGAATTAACACAAGATTTTGATAACATGTGTTCTGTTTTGTTCTGGTGTATGACTGCTATGTGTAACTGTATTAACTTCTCCAGGACAAAGGTACTACTTGATATGAAAGGTAGCACACATGATCAATAAGAAAGAATAATTCACTTGGGGGGGGCAGCCATTTGTTTTTCATATGTCCAAGTGTAAATACAATAGAATCCCAGTTATCTGGCACCTACGGGCATTGAGAGGTGCTGGATAAAAAGTTTTTCTGGTTAATTGAAACTCACTCTTAGGATCCCCCAATAAATCCTACAATGCACAGTGCTACAGGATGACCTCCCAAATTCGTGCCTCAGAAAAACCGACTTCTTTAACGCTTACTGTGTGAAAAGTGAACGTGTCTGGAGGCAGTGGGCTATAACTATGTCGCCAACTTGCCAGCCCAGCCGCCTCGTATATTGTTACTTGTATTGAAACTATAAAAGTTATGGAAAAATCATTACAATACTCAAATGTGGCTTAGAAATAAAAAAAATATAATATAAAGTATAAAATAATAAAATTTAAGAGCATCAGTGCGTATATGGGAAGTGAATGTGTTGAGGCAGTGAGTTACATGGCTATAACTGCATTGCTGTGCTCCCTCATGATGTGACACCATGGCATACACACAACCGGTGCGGCAGCCACACGTCTGTGAGTCAGCCTTGCACGACTGGTTCGCATCACCCAGATGATGGTTTGAGTGTAGGAGCTATTTTTTTTATATATAAAATATGTGCTAATGTATTTTATGATATGCTGATGTATTGATTTTATTGTTTATCTTAGCAATAAATATGGCAGCTCATCCCATGGTTCTAGCTGATTTTTATTATTTCATTTTGGTGTCGGTTAGTTGAATCTACCGGTTAACTGGGGATCTACTCTATCTTTATTAATTTTCGTGAGAACTACAGCATTAATTGAAGTAGAAGTTGTTCTCCAACCATTTTGAAAATTTGTCTGGGTAATACAGGTTATATGGTTCATGCAGCAAATCGTTTCCTAAAAGGAATAAGTAAGGAACTCTTACCAATTTCTTTGCATGTCTTCCTCATGGCTGCTCACTATCATGCATCCTTATCAATTTGACTCTTGTAACTGTTCTTCTACCAGAAGTCTTCAGTTGTAGCAGCAGGCAATTTATAAAATACATATACGTACAGGGTATATAAAATTCTACCTTTTCATTGATACTGATTTTATGTTTTTTGTTTTAACTTGTCCTTATTTTTCAACAGTTGGGTCCATGGCTGGCTGTAGAAATTCCGGACATGATCCAACGAGGAGTTGTCACTTATGCTGAGAAAAAGGCTTAACATTGCTTTGGAATATTTTTTTGTGGTATGTACATTTAAAACGAGATGTTTGATTATGAAAAAAAGAACCTGACAATTTTGAATAACACTCCCAAGATCATTTGTTTAGCTTTCAGTCTTTTTAATCATATTTTTTTCCCCAAATATATGGAGTAATTTCCTTTTATACTTGACATGATAATTATATTCCTTGTTAAGGGGGGGAAGAACTAACCCTAATCCCAGGGTAATAAGGTCAATTTATGAATGATACCAACTTGTCTGACCTAACCTTGGCATTGAGGGTTGAACATAATTATGTCCTTGAGTAAAGGTTATGTTCTGCATGTTTTTCCTAAACTGTTGTAAACTAATTTGAATGGACATAACAAGAATACTAAGATAAGATTCAATAAAACTATATTTACTAAGTTTAGGATTAAATGTTCATGTTTTTGTTATACAAAATTAGATTTATTCCAATAAAGATAATTTTTGTACCTGTTTTGCATTTAAGCCCTGTGTTTATTTGGGTCACATTAGGTGTTGTTGAGTCCTAAGATAATTGTGATACTCCTATCCATCAACTTGAATCTAAGTTACAAGAGAGGTCATCCTAAAACTATATCTTGCACTTGTGAGACCTCACTTGGATTACGCAGTTCAATTCTGGTCACCGTATTACAGAATGGATATAGAATCCCAAAAAAGAATTCAGACGAGAATGACAAGACTAATCCCGGGCATTAGGAATCTTGAGTACAGACAGGTAAAGCATCTTAATTTTCACTCCCTCGAGAGACGTATAGTGAGGGGTGATATGATACAGGTGTATAAATGGAAATCAGGGCTAAACAAAGGGGACATTACAAAGGTACTCAAACTATCCAACCACAAGCGAACTCGTAATAATGGTTTTAAATTAGAAAAATTTAGATTTAGGCGCAAAATAGGTAAACATTGGTTTGGAAATAGATGAGTGGAACAAGTTACCAAATATCATCATTAACTCGAATATGCTGGATAGCTTCAAACATAAGTTGGATGCTTATATGAGCAATAGGGGTTGGGTGCAAATGGGACTGCCCAGTATGGGCCAATAGGCCCGCTGCAGTTTCCTCCATTCTTATGTTCTTATTAATTGCACAAATTCAGATCATGGAAAGGAAATGGAGATCACATAGGCAATAGTGATTAATTTTGCTTCACAGGAACTACTTTAGTGGCAGAAGGTGGCAAAGCCAGAGTACAAGATGGTAGCTTGTCAAATGGGCCCATATCCTAACTTGCCTTAAGGTAACCTTTAGGATTGAGGTCCAATCCTATTGGGTTCCAATTTTAATTGGCTGAGAGTAGGTTGGGGCCCATTTGGTTGGTAACCTCGAAGATGAATTGGTAATGGGTATTAATTTTGAAATTAGGATTAATTTTTTTTATCAAGTAATATATATTAATAAAGAAAAGGAACAACATGAGATATAAGTGGTCATTACTCTATAATTATGACAACACCGATAAATTCCCGTAACTTCACAAAATCTTAAAGCTTCACCACAGTCAAAAACTTTAGGACCATCCTGTAGGGTCATGAACATAGCCAGGGTTTTGATTGGGGAGCCAGGGCTGTTAGATGTAGGGTGGGAATAGGGAAAAAAATTAAAAGATTTTATCATACGTAATACAGTACATACATACTGTACAGCACTACTTTGTCAAAATTAAGTGAAAGATAGAATTTAATTTATTCGGTCCTGTTAAGTTTTATTAAAGATTGGTCGATTGCATATACACATATACTGTACATAATTACATATACTGTAAGTATTCAATATGCATACAGGAGTAAAAAAATGTCTAAGCAGTGCTTTAAAGATTAATGTGGCGATCACTTAAATGACTGCATTGTTATGCAGTGAGGATAATGTTGCTGAACCAGAAAAGATCCGATCAGCGCATCTAAACGGGTCCGACTAATTACCCAAATGTAGCCGCAATGAAGTCAAATAATGGTCCTACATGAATAAATCGGACTGCCAATCACTTCTAGACTAGTATTTGGTGTCACGAGATGATCACCTGGCAACTGTATGTGACATTAAAAAAAAAATCAGCAAAATACAATCAATGATATTTTGGAGAGAATTGTTTAATTATTATTATTTACGCATAATTAATTAATACAAATTAATAAAAACAAAATGAATAAGAAGATAATTGTGTTTAGGTAGAGAGAATTTAGAGAGTAGAGGAATATTGGTCCGGCAACACTGCTCTCACCACGACCAGATCAGCTGCTTCAGTGTTAAGACAGAGCTTGTGGAGGGAAGGTGTTGGTAGTGTGGCTCCCAATGTTTGTGTTCATATACGCTTTACTGGTAACTTAGACTACAGACATTTGTGAATTATATAAAGATTTAAGCTAATTGTGACTTGAGTTATTTAAAATTATAGACAAATAGAGGAAATAGATAGTGGACAGGACTCTACATCATCACCAGGAGAGTGGACTGACCCAAGCTTCTTTGTTGACGGATACATCAAGGAATTAACAGGTGAGGTTTGAAGCTGCATTGTGGTAGTTATCAGTTACCATAGAAACCAGGAGATATGGAGCAAAATATATTGATGTGTTTATGTAGTTTAAGTCATCCCACACTGTTAAAAAGGTCTACACAGGGGAGGTTAATCTTAGAACAAGTATCCAGAAGAATATAAGTAAGTTTATAGAACCACCAAACAAGAGCCAAGTGTCAGATGTAGTGTATTGATTTCTTCTCGTTTGTTTGAGAAGTAACAGTGGGTAATTTAGTTGGTTTGGCTTTATATTGTTAACGATTTGCTCTCTGATTTAATTCATATTAACATGAAACCAATAAAACCCATAATCATTATCTTATTCCATTTAAATATTGTTTATATAATGATGTGCCGTTTCACACCTGGATTTAAAGTACGAGATGTCGTGTTTTGATGTTCAGTATCAACAGAGCCCACACATTATAATGTTGTATACACCTCAGTGATGAAAATTTGCTTTACGTGTTCAGTATACTGTACTGAAACCGATTGTGTAATGTGAATCGTTTATGGTAGCGAATTTTAACAATTAAAATAAAGTTACAGTAAGGTTAAAATGTTTCGTTGTAGTGGATGTAATTGAGAATGATGCTGGGCTCTCCATCCCCCGCCATGAGTAATACCATTAAACTGTAGAGATTGTCTCCACAAACACTGCTGTATGTTCGCGTGTGTTGAGGGGGGGGGGGGTTACGGTTTGTAATTCAGTGAAGCAGTTTCAAGGTTTTGTCGTTCTACCGATACGTTACAGTTTTTAAGATAAAATCCAAGTTCTAGAGCTGTGTTGTAATGTTTTTCTTTGGTGCATATATAAAGAAACAGGTGGATGGGTGATAAATAAAGTGGGAAGTGATGGTGAACTCCTAGACTCTTCAGGTGCATTTTACAAAGGTCGAGAAAAAACTCAACCGTGTACACACCAGTGTTGCTAACCCAATCCTTCTACGATCGAAAATGAAACTTGAGTTGCTAGATAACATAAATGGGTACTGTGACCTGTCAGTTCTCAACCTACCGTACGATGAATGAGTGGCCCTTCAGCCACACACAATACTTTTAGCTCCTCATTCGACACAGGTGTGTGTGTGTGTTGGTCATGCACTTTGTGAATACATGAAATTGAACACTTTAGTACATGGGTCCGTGTGTACAACCCAGAGTCATAGTTTGGCAATCTTTGGAATGAATTAATTTTCACATTTCAAACAGGTGACTCTTATTTCTTGAAGAAACTTAAACCATCACGGTGCCAGAGATGTTGCTAATTCATTGTACTGGAATTCAACTTTAAAATTCGAGGTTGTAAACTACGCAGCGTTGCTCAATGACCCGACAAATATTGGCAGGTCTTTAAAGCAGAGGTGAATTATGAGGAAACCAAAGAGAAGGATGAAGATCGGTCTCCTGAACTAAGTAGATTTGAACTTAAATACTGAAATTGGTTAGATAGGGTGCTTGTCTCCCCTTAAAGATGCTGGTTCAGTCTCTGGCACCCCTAGTCTACCCAGTCGTAAATTGGTACCCAACTATCAGTTGGAGAAGTGAAGGTGGTCCAATGCAGTGCCGGCCACGCTGCCTTCTTGTGTACCAAAAGCCTGGTTCACAATGTACTGTATCTACACTGTCCCTAACGGGCTTACAAACAGAAAGCTCTTTATGAAACCAATGTTTAAAGATGGACTTCTCTACACTCTAGTGGTTTGGGGATATATATATATATATATATATATATATATATAAAACGAAGAGGAGAACCAGGGAAAACACACACCTCTTGACTAAGTTGGGTTTCTTTAATCACTAACGTTTCGGAAAATAATTTTCCAACATCAGAGCCTAGAAAACAAAAAGTTTTAAAAAGTAAAAAAAAATACAGGTGATATAGAATAAAAACGTAACATTATACCAAAATTTACCTTCTGCAAATTTAAAAAAAAAGAGCATTATAATTTAATACCGATAAAAATGACGAGAGACCTACGTAGAAACTAAAATCAGAAAAACAAAAAACTAAAATATACAGGGGTATTACCTTAATTTAGACGAGTCTTAGTGTGAAAAACACAACATTTCACAGGAAGCCATATCACAAATGGATGGCTTTACTTTATACTGATGCAAGGCTTCCATAATGAGGAGGTCCATCTCACAGTTACGGATAGCTGAATGTGGTGGTTGTGTGATTAACTGGCCTGTTAGGACGGAACGGCCCAACTGCTCATGGATGCGAATTATCAAATGTCTTTTTGTTTTATCTATATATGCTGCCCTACAGCTAGCACACGTCAGAGAACAAAGATAACTAATTGATGCGGGAACTAAACTTGGCACGTGGGTAATAAGGGTAGTGCCAGGCCGGCCTTATCAGTGCACTCAGCTAGCTTTTATAGCCTCCGCCAACGTTAAACCTGACGTTAATTAAACAGTTTTAAACCTATAAATATGAGATACTGTAAAAGAAACTGAAGAAGTACCTAACGGGGAAGACATGTCGCTAGAAGAACTGATTGAGGATGGAATAACAGAGTGCTTGAGTTAATCTCCTGATGACACTGGATTTGAAGGTCGCAAGACAGCAACAGAGAACAGATGGACCTCCTCAATGGTTAGTAAGCTGATCAGTGGTGTAAAGTGATGAACGGAAAAAAGAAAACACCCACAAATGGTTCAACTACCCGGTGAATAAAAGCAACTTGGAAAACTGAAGAGGTTAAATTTGGTAGACAAGGCGCGCGACTCAAGACTCCCAAGCTGGCAGGGGTCGAGTGTGAAGGGTAGCGATTGTCAGGTATATTTAGACTAATTGATGTGTGTATCAGGAGAGGACGTATGATTAATGCTGATGCATATGTATAGCAGGAAGGTGTTTTGATACACCACAGTTTCCTATTGCAGCTGGAATGAATAAATTAAAAATTCTGCC